ACAACATCTTTGTTGGTATGTGGTGCTGAGGATCGAACCCGGGCCGCACGCATGCCAGGCGAGCGTGCTACCGCTTGAGCCACATCCCCAGCCCTACTGTATATTTTTGAAAGAAGACTCTCAGAAAGACTACCTAAAGATGAAAAAAAAAATTAAGTTGAAACTGATTTAGCTGCTTAAATCACTTTGCATTTAGAAGACGGAACAAGAGCTAAGAGCATAAGGAAAACATGTCTTGAAGTGATTTATGCTCAAATACTGTTCAAGGAAAAGACAAAGGGCAAAATTTCAATTATTTTTCTATGCTAAGGACAGAGCAGTCTATCAGTGTGCACGTGTATGTGTGTGAGCTCTGCACTGGGCGAGGTGCTGAGTAAAGTGCAGTAACCCGTTGTAGGCATGAGACACGCTCTCTATTAGGAGAGGGCAACCGAGGTACCTCGATGCCCCTCTCCTCTGCAGCTTTCTATCCTGCAGCACAATCTCCTCACTACAGAATGCCTGAGAAGTGCATGTCAACCACTAGAGAGATTGAGACAGATTGTGACAGGGACACACCTACCGGATCAGTATGAGTGAGGTAACTTTTCCATAGTCAGCTGGGGTGAAGACTACACCAACCCTTTTCATTTCCAAAGGCTGCAAGTGCAAGTGGAGGGTGCCAGACCTGGGTTCCTCAGAATGCACACCCTGCAGATTACCAACAACACAATTAAACCACTCGGTTGTCCACGGAGCAAGTGTCCATGTTGATTAAGTGCATTGTGGGGTATAAACATGGCGGCTTTTGTTTTAACTTCCAGATCTGACCAATCTCATCAACTTTGTGTGCCTGTGGCGGGTAGGGGTGCTGGGGGATGAACCCAGGACATCACATATTACACAGGATAGGCCAGCGCTCTACCGCTAAGCTCTACTCCAAGGCCCTCATCCACCTATCTGAACTTGTTTATCCTGATGCCTTCACAATGATAAAATGTTCCTAAGCTGATAGGCAGAGGCTGCAGGGCAATCTGAAACCAATGCTGGGAAGGGGATCTGCTTCCTGGCTTGGATGGGAGTTGAGGTTAGAAGTCCTTCATACAGAGATGTTTCAAATGGAAAACATCAATCAGAAAACTGACCAGAATGTCTCTGCCCAAATATGTCTTTGCCCGAGCAATATGAAAAGACCACCCACCCTCTGCTGGACAACCCTAAGATACCTTTAAATACTGTATTTAAGTTTATATAAAGAAACCATCTTTTTTTTATATTCAGTCTCTCCAGTCAAGAGAAAGATCTTTATTTCTTCACATCCTCCTCTACTCTGGATTCTCCAAGATTTCTTTCTCTGAAAAATCTCATGTTCTAAATTGTAATATTTGAGATTTACTTCTTTATCTTCCTGCTGCCTTCTCGCTAGAAACTATTTTTTAGAGCTGTCGTCCTACAAGCTGCAGGAGTATTTCTGTCTCCTATGTTTTCAACTTTTAAACTTGTGGAACTCTTCAAGTCTTGCTCTCACGTCCCATGCTATCTGAAAAGAATAAATGGTGACGGTATTTGATTCATTCATTAGAACTATGAACTCCAGGGAGCAGAAAATCCTGCTTCATACGTAGAATTAAAACACTGAACAAAAATGTTGCCAATTTCTGGTATTAAATTTATAGTAATTATAACACCATTTAATTAAATGTTTGGTTTTTTTTTGGGTAGGTGCACACCAAGTATTGGACTACTTAAGAAAATGTAAAAATACCAAACAATCTATTTTACAAAGCTTACTGGAAATCTTGAAACATGAAAGATGAGGCTCAGAGAGGTTAAATAATTTGTCCAAGCAAGGTTACACAGGTGAAGCATGGAAAAACCGGGATTCGAAACTTTCAGTGTCCAATTCCACATACTCAACCCATTAAATCCCAGGATCCTATATATAAAACACCCATAAAAACTTGCTCAATTTAGGTTTTTATGTGTCCTATACATAGGACAATGGGACATAATGAAGTTGATCAAAAGGACTGTATTTCTAAAGTAAACCAACAAAATTACAATGTTAAGAATCTTTCTCTACCCTACAAAGAGTTTTAACAATTTTTATTAAAATTGAGTATCTTCACAGCACTGATAACTTATTATATTGTCAAAAAGAATATTAACAGTGGTCAAAATTTTCCTTATTGCAAAAGTGTGACATTCTTTTTTTTTTTTTGCTACAGTGATTGAACTCAGTAGCACTTTACCACTGAGCTCCACCCCCAGTCCTTTTTAATTTTCATTTTGAGACAGGGTCTTACTAAGTTGCTGAGGGTTTCAATGAGTTGCTGAAGCTGGCCTCAAACCTGTGATCCTCCTGCCTCAGCCTCCCAAGTTGCTACAGAGTGCATGCCCCGCAGCAAGGTATGATATTCTCAGGAAAAATCTACACAGGTTTTTCCAAATGAGCTATATTATGCGTTCAAATATAACTAGAATATTCAGATATAAAAGAAAATGGCCTCATTTTTTCAATTTCAAACTACATATAATTTAATACCAGTATGGCAAAACATCTCTTAGTATTTTGGGCTAACTGCCCCCCATACTCTAGATACTGCCTGGTAGAAAATGTCAGGAACCCTGGGCTTCCGAAGGAGATCAAAACCACACCCCAGTGTAGGCTCCAACCCTTGCGGTGCTGCCTAGACCACTTCACATGCTTACTACTGTCAACAAGTCTCTGTCAAAAATCCACTTGGAAATCTGCTTTCATTTGTTTTGTTTGAACTCTCTGTGGTCCTCTTCCCATTACTCCAGTTAAGCTAGAGCAATAGTATACTTTTAAAGGGATAGAGAAGAAAAATAAGAAAATATCCAAAATATTAAATATGCGTGTACCTCTATGTGTGTGCATTCTTTTGGTGTTCAGAGGGCTGTGTGAACTGTGTGTGGCTCCCCTTTTGAATTGATTTCAAACATACAATATCTGTGAAACCAAGACTCAGCAATATGAGAACTACTGAATGAAAAATAAGAAATCAGGTTGCTGAGTCCCTACGTTCACAATGTCCTCGCCACGTGACATTTTTACTCCTAAGTATCTGAAAAGACCTCATGATTGCCCCTTAAGATGGAAAATCCCTTTATAAGTGAGATGAGAACCAAAGAAATTGGGTGACTTGCTATAAACATGAAGGATGACAGTAACAGAAGATTTTAAAAATGCATTTGCTTTTACCTTATCTTGCCCTAAAAAAAAAAAAAAGAATTAAGTGGGCCAAGGAATCTTACGAGATCATAAATTCTGGAGTCTCAAGTTTTATGGTTTTCTACATAGGTCTGACTCCATTGTTATTTCTTCATTCACATGCATCTAAATCATCAAAATGATTTACAGACTAACATGAATCTGACTCTAACTAGTTAATTGGAAAAACCTGCTATGCGTCTTTCATGCCTAGAGAATGAAAATAAGAAAGCCACACACAGTTCACACAGCCCTCTGAACACCAAAAGAGGGGCCACGTGCTTCTGTGGCCAGTTTGTCAACATTCTTTTTTCTACTGAAAATGCCATCCTACCCGGTAAGAGCAAGCTTTGGTGAGCTGGAATTCACCAGTTGTGAAATTAATCGTCTGCATATCAGTGCCAAACCTACAAAGCAAAAAAAAAAAAAAAAATGTTAATTTTTAAGTTTAAAATAGCATTGAGATCTGCCAATGAAGAATGAATACATAATACATGCTTATGCACATGCACATTTACACACAGGAATGCATGTGTGAGTGCATAAACAACTCATCCTGTCTTGACACTACCTGTCTCAGCCCTGCTTCCACACCCATCCATATCTGGTTTACTCCAAGTGCTCAATGAATCTTATTCAATGAGTGACTCTGACATGCTCCTTGGCAGTACAGAAACATATGGAGACAAAAGTGCTAAGTATAAAGCTGTTTATTTCTTCTCCAAATGGTTCATAGCTATGAAACCCAAAAGGAAGTGATTCTCAACCAAAGACAATTTTATCCCCACCCCAAAACATTTGGCAACGTCTGCAGACATTTTGGATGCTGTGGCTGGGGAAGCCCTTTAGGAGGTAGAAGCTGGAAAGCTGCTGAACAGCCTTCACTATACAAGACAGCTCTTCCCCCAACACACAAAGAATCATCTGCCCCAAAATGTCAACATTGCTGAAGTTGAGAAATCTGGGGACAATGGCACATCTTCCTAAATGAAAAGTTACTAACGGTCTACATAAAAGTGTGATTATGTGAAAACAAGATACATTAGGCTTGAAAAAATACTATCATTCTCTTGTTTAACTCTAGAGTAGAATATACAAGAACACTAAATCTGTCTTTCTTTTTGTGGCACTACTGACTGAACCTTAGGCCTTGTGCATGCTAAGCAAACACTCTACTCCTCTCTGTACCCATGGCCCTCTTATTTTATTTTGAGTCAGGGTCTTGATAGTTGCCCAGGCTAGCCTGGAATTCCAGTCCTGCTGCCCTACCCTCCTGGGCAGCTGGGATTATGGATATGCCACTGACCCTGGCTTTAAACTCATTCCTGAATTAACCAAAGATCATCATGATTTAGATTCTCAATTTTAGAAATATGCATGGAAAAGCATAATGATAAAGGTTCCCTAATTCAAAAATGCTCTGTGGGGCTATAGACCCAAGCCAGTGACAGGGAAGGTGCCAGGTAACACCCAGAGCCAGGAACATCCACTGAACACCTGCACCCAGGGCCAGGGCACCCCAGATACACAGGCTGATGGGTTCACAGTGTGTATGCCCAAATCCAGAGCCTGGGAGAAAGCAGCACAGGCCTTCCAACAATTCTGAGTCCTGAGGGTGTTTCCCAAACTGCCCACCAGAGGGTCTTCCTACCATTTGTGCAGCAGGCGTGCCGCGGCTTCGGGTTTCGGGTACAAGGAGAGAGGCAGGAGCTGCAGGGAGACTGGCAGCGAGGACGGGTTCCTCACCATAAAGTACTTCACCTAGACGCGAGGAGAGGAGGGTGAACACAGCGAGGGACACAGCATCCTCCCAAGACACTCCTGAATCTCATCGCAACTACTTACAGCTCCAACAGAGGGGCAGCTTAGAAAATCAACGGTCTGAACCCTTCGAGAAAATGTCCGTGTGTGCGCGGGGCTGGAGCGCGGTGGCAGAGCACATGCCTAGCGCACCACATTAAAAAAAGAAACATACATAGAGGCATTCTGGCCACCTCCAACTACAAAAGTTTTGTTTTTTTCAATGTCTATGTGGGCTGAGGGTGTAGCTCCGTGGGAGAGCAAGAGCTCTGCACAGGACTGATCCCCAGCACCAAAGGGAAAAGAAGAGAAAAAAATGCTACATCATGAAAGGCAAAGACATGATGAGAATATCAGAAAGGACTCGGACTACCATGACAATGTGCTCATACCCTGGGGTCATCCTGAGCCAGGAGGTAGGAAAGTCACCATGAGTGGTTTCAGTGACCTCCCTAGAGAAACTAGAATACAGACTGTACACTGGGTAACGTTAGGTTAATACTTCATTTTATAATTTTGATCATTATATTCTGGTTACATAAGAAAATACTTTTATAGGGGGGCTCATGTCTCAACCTCTCAAATATGTACATGTGAAAAGGGAGAGGGAACGATGATCAAGCAAGCGTGGCAAACATTAAATACCGACTCATCTTGGGGAAGGGCCACTACTGGGAGGAGTTCTTGGTGCTATTCTTAGAACTTTTCTCTGGGGAGAAATGACTTCAAAACGAAAAGTGAAAAGGAAAAGCAAAAGCAGTCTTAGGTGGTCATCCCCGAGAACTCAACCAGCATCTACTAAGGTGTGCGCTCTACTCGGAGCATGTGTGGAGGCAGTTCCTGGCCATGAGACCTAACGGGAAGTCTGCTGGTGGCACCTCTTTCCCTTTGTCCCGCCTCCTGACACCCTGGGTGGATGGAAGATAGCATCCACAAGGAAGGAGGACAACACACTCAGGATAGAAAGTACACAGACGGGCGGAGCCTAGGTCCCCACCGTCAGCAGAGCAGCCTGGCTCACTCTGGACTTCCTTTGAGTTCTGGTTATGAAACCAAGTCCTGCGTTAGCCAAGATCTTCTCTGTGCTCAGTAGCTGAATGCTTTAACTCCTACATTTTATTTAGGAAGCTCATATTCAATTCCAAATCTCTTTGTTCAATGTATTCTCTGTCTCCTTAAGATTTCACTCCTCTTGTTCTGTAGGGAGGGCCTTACTCAAGGTGCCCTGATAGCATTAAAGTGTGGACCTTAGATTGATTTGGGTCCTGAAACATCTCCAGGCACAATAACTCTGGTGTTCTGAAGACCTCAGCGCTGTGGTGTCACTGGCAAAGACAGGGGAAGAACACACTGTCCTCACCACACTGTTCCTCAGGGCAGTCGCGCTGAAGTTTAACACAAGGCCAGGCTCCGCCACCAAACGAGGCAAAACGGAAACAAAGGACTCTGACTCCTTGGGTTTCTTCGAGTGGGCGAAACGCATCATTCCTAAGACATTCCTCCTGTGCAAAGAAATGATTTTGGAAAATAATTTTGACATTCAAAAGGAAAATCATTCAACACCACTCCCACCACAAGGAACAAAGGGTCCTGGGGAAAATGGCTTGGGCTGGGTTTGGGAAGCAGAAGGTCTCAGACTGACTCTCTGTGGGGACTGAGGGCACAGCTCGGTGACAGGGTGTGTGCTTAGCAGGCATGGGGTCTTGGCTCAATTCCTGGCAATTCCCCCAAACCACTCAACCTAGAATGTTCTGTTCCCATGATGACGATGTAGCAGAAAGACACACAGGCTATGCTGAAGGGCCCCCATGCCAAACTTGGGACGACTGAGCATCAAAAGCAATAAAGACAATAACTGAGTACAACATGCTAACAAAACTATAGGGATGCTGGAAAAAGAGAGGCTCTTTTTTAAAAACCAAACCAAACCATATCTCACAATAATTGTAGAATGGACAAATGGAAACACCCCTCCCCATCTTACAGCCATTAGGCTAATGTCACTGATTCGGACAGTGATGTTCCATGATTTCTAAAACCATGGGATGAAAGGTCTTTAGGGAATGGCAAGGGTAAATGATATCAGATTATCACAACCCAGCTTTTGATGAATCACTAAAGGAAAAAGGTGCCGAATGTGGAGAGACCTGTCACACATCAGCTACACCACATAATTCACCCTAACCGTGCTAAAACAGACAGATTAACATTCACATACCTCCTGAAAGGACACAATAATATACAAGATCAACCAGGTAATTCACATTCTTGCTAAAAATGTTTAACCTGAACGGAAACTTGAGGAACCAAGCATAAAAACTGATAGTGTGGAATGTTCTTACAACTGGCCTGGATTGGACAAAACTTGTCAACATGATGAAAGCTGAACCAAAATGGGGCACTAGTCTAAAGGCTACCAAAAAACCAAGACAGTCAAATGAACCTGGTCTACAAGAAAGGATAAAGACAAAAATAGAGTTGCTGGGTCAGTCAGGATAATTTTAATACAGACTGCCTATTAGATAACACAATTATGTCATTGTTGAGTGGGCTGGGGACAGAATGGTGGTACAGTTAAGAGAATACCCTCCTCAGGAAATAACTTCCCAAGAAAGCACTGTGGGCTGAAGTAGAATAACAGCACTTTCCTAATAAAGCACAGAGGACTGAAGTATGCTAATAATGAAGATTTTCCTAATAAGATATCGAGGGCTGGAGTAGGGTGATATTTACAGCTTCACTTTCAAATGACTCAGCAAAAAGTGTGACTATGTGAACACAGGTATACACAGAGAGTGGGGGGAGGGAGGGGGTAAAATGGGAACACAGGGGACAATCTGGAGCCAAGGACCATGTGAGGGGTCAAGGCACTAACCCTGCAGCTCTTCTAAGATATGAAACTTTGTCAAAATAAAAAGATAGAAATATCATCAACCACCAAAAATTAAGGAGTGCAATTTGAAAAGGGGACCATGTGCAATTTGAAAAAAGGACTGCTCAACAACAGAGAGAGGAAGATGAGAGACACACCTGCAGACTTTGCCACTCTTGTGTTTCTTCCAACTTTCATACAAGTTATTTGCAAGTTCCAAATCCACATCCCAGGTAGACCAATCCAGAGAAAGGGCCCCATCCCAATTAGGATTTTCTAAAAGTTAGATCAGATTCAATATTTAGATTTACAGAAAGTACGACTCAATTCGTTAACAATACCACGAACTAACCGTTAGACTTCTCAAACAGAGAGGACGATAGAGTGAATCAATGCCACTCTTCTCCTCTCTTCTTTACTAAAAAGTCCCTCTAATTCAATGGCAAATGATATATCAAATTAAACAAACATGTAAAAAAACAAAACCAAATCGATTATGTAAAGGCATTAACATAAAAGACACATGGTTCATGAATACAGCCTGAAACAAGTTAAAATTATACTTGCAACATTTTAAACAGTTTTAAATCTAAAATGCAAAACTGTTTCCATGGACATGTTCCTCATCACTGTCTGAGTCTTTCCACATACTGTAGAGTGCAGAGGGAAAAGCCCGCCTAGACCAGGAGCTGATCCTCTACAAGGTGCATGTTGTTCACCTCACCCTACTCATCTGCTCTGTGCTAAAGAGGGGATCAGAAAAGAAAAAGAAAAGGTGGGACTCTCCCAAAAGAAACATCTGTCCTTTAAAACTCTCAATTATCTTAATAAATCAAAATGCAAAAAAAAAATAAAGCCCCAAGTTAGAAACTGCTTCCATAACAACACTAATGGCCTCTGTCACACATCATGATCAGCACTGCCTATGATATGTTTATGACTCTATCATTTAAGCTCTTTTACAAAAGAATCATAATTTTCTAATTTTTCCTGGTGACAAGGCTGCTATGATGATCAAACAATATTATTTTTTTTTAAAAAAAATCCCTTAAAAAAGCATAAGCTACTTAGGAATAAGAGGGCATTATTTACACAGTACCCTATGGGTGTCTGGAGGACTCTAACAATTTCAGGTTGTTCTGTCAGTGATTAAGCTAAGAACAGAATATGATGCAATTACTTTTGAAAAAAATTATTCCATCTACAAATGCTAACATCCTTCACTGCTTCCCACTTCCCCCAAATTGGAGTTCTACAGAAAGCCTAAGGGCAAAATACTTACCTGCTTTTGATTTTCCCATGAAATAATGCATGCCACAATGTGCTATCACTTCAAAACCCAGACTCCCTTCCTAGATTGAAAAGTAATATATGAATAACTTAAAACACAACACTCAACATAAAAATCCCAATGCACTAAAATACGAAGCAGACACTGCCCTTCTCCTCAGTGAACTCCCCTTTAACCAGATGTCAAACAACTAGAAAGTGATGTCTTGGTTTCCTTTCTCCTTGAATCTGTTCTGAGAACTCGGCGCCATCTCTCCCAGAAGGGCCACTAGAGCAGATCCTGCACAACCATTACAGCCCATAATGACCACCGTTGGGCCCACAAGACACAGCGCTGTCACGTGAATTAAAGATGAAATTAGTCTCAGGACATTCCTAGTGGCTTCTGTCTTTTTTGGTTTTTTCGTTTGTTTTTAATTGTCCTCTAATCCTCTGAGAAACTGTCTATCCATCTAAAGAACTTCTTGCTACTCAGGGCATTTAATGCCCCACTTCTCAGTTTGGGGAAGAACAGACTTGCTACTTCCTCATGCACCTGAAACCTGCCTCCTGCTCCCTCCCTTGGTCACTCTTCTTATATGCATCTCTTGTTTAGAAAAAGGAAATTTCTAAGAAATCTTCCCTGCTCAAAATATGGATAAATGAAATTAGCTTTACATTTTTGTTGAGTTGTTTGATTTGCAAGGTCCTACCTTCACACTTACAGCCTAAACATGAACATTTCTAACTATAAAATATCAACACCAATAAGTGAGAAAAAATCATAAAGATGGTTGCATGAATGTCTCATAGTGAAAAATTAGAACCCAATATTATATAGAATAGCTTGGATCAAAAGGAAGCAATAATAACTAAATGAAAAGAAATAAAACGTTAAGAAAAAAAATGAGACATGATTAAGATAATCTAAATTAAACACAATTTACCCAGATTTTAGAAAACATTCTCTTGTGAACTCTTAGGCTTTTGACTTGTCCCATTTAAGAAAATTCAAGGATTATAAGCAAAACTCAAAGTCACTTAAAAAGTGGTCTACCTAAAGCATTTAAACCAATGTGATTTATCTCAAGGCAAGGCCCTGAGTTTCATCCAAGGCACTACTATATTAAAAAAAAATTTTTTTTTGAAACAAATGAAAATGAAATCTATTTACATGCTTATCTTTCAATAATCAACTGCTTCATGAAAAATAGACCCTTTCCAAATAAAAATTTCCAAATCTGAAAAAACTGATCTAAGATTGGCCTGGTAATGGCCTTCAATTTCTTAGGTGGCCTTAAAGAACATGAACTTAACCCTGTTAATAAAACCCAAGCACCGTAAGTAAAAAGAAACAACAATTATCAAGAAATTTATAACACACATGGTGTTGTAAACAATACCTTGGTTGGTGCTGAGAAAATCTGTAGAGGTATTGCAAAAATGGCACCTATGTTTGTAGTCAAAAATATATTGGTGAATAGATTTATGGCAATGTCTTTAACAGCAAGTTTCAAAGAAAATATATTCCAACAGCCTGGAGGTAGAAATAAAGGGCCAGTGAAATTCAGAATCTAAAAAGAAAAGAAGCAAGAGAGATTACTTTTCCTAACACTGATTAGGATTTAAAATAATTACAAAGTATGATGTTGAAGTTCTTCCATATTTTGGAAAAGCACAATTTGACTCAATTCATTCCAGATCAAGGACGGAAACATTTCTTATAGAAATGAAAGGTTTCAAATACTGCTTAATATGCCCGTATTTTAAATTTCACAAAAGTAATCTTCAAGTGATCATAAATGGCATTTTCAAAAGCCTACTATATTTTACCACAAATAAGGTATATAATTACTATACACAATCTTGTTTATAGAAATCATGTATTATAACATTTTTGAGTAATAGTTAAGAGTAAATATTCTTACAGAATATAATAATGTTCATTTTGAGATCCATGAAACAATTGTGTTTGAAAAAAAGAGAGAGATCCTAGAAGTAATTCTAAAGGTTTAAAAATAGGTCAAAATTAATGAATTTTTTTTTGGGGGGTGGGGTACTGGGGATTGAACTCAGGGACACTCAACCACTGAGCCACATTCCCAGCCTTTTTGTATTTTACTTAGAGACAGGGGCTCACTGAGTTGCTTAGCACCTCGCTTTTGCTGAAGCTGGCTTTGAACTTGTGATCCCCCTGCCTCAACGTCCCGAGCCGCTGGGATTAAAGGCATATGCCACCACGCCCAGCCAAAATTAAATTTTATAGATATGAATTTCATCACATTTGACTTTGAACAAAGCTTAAAATAGGTTAACACTGGAAGAAAAACACCATACATACCTTTAAAATGTGCCTAGCGTCCTTGGAAACAAACACATCCTTTAACACAATGTTACGGTCAAAATGGTTGAAGTACCATATTGACCACACTCCTGATGTGTTCTCGTGACTCTCCACATGAAACTGGGCTGCAGAAGGGTCCACTCTGAAATACCTGTGAGCAGAAGACACACATGCCATCGGCCCAAGTGCAGAGAACCACAGCACTTCAGGGAGCACCCAGGTGCCAACAGGGGATGCCACAAGATATTATGGATGCTGCCAACCACCACAGCAATCACCTCCTGAACCATCTGTTCACACCTGCAACACCTAAGGGCCAGGGTAAAGTGGCCCACCATGACCAGGGCAGCTCAGGAAAGCTACCAGGACAAAAGCAGGACCCAAATTCTACTCAGAAAACACCATCCGAGCACCCCTTCCCACACACCTGGCGGCCTGGCCCAGAACCTACTTCAGACTGAATTATTTAGTTACTCTTTCCCATTCTGCCAAGGCACCTCTCCCTGCTTAATAGCAGTGTGAACGCACAGCAAAGAAAGTCCAGGAAAAGACCCATAGGACTCACATGAGCTATAGTTCTGAAGACCTACTGGGGAGGAAAAAACCCCATATGACTTCGGGGAAAGCAGAACGAACCTACCCCTGCACCACCGGAGAGGAGAGGCATGCTTCTAGTGTTGGAGTGATTTTTGATTTCTTCACATCTTCTATCATCCCACTGCCACAGGACATAGCTGCTTTAGATATTTAAAAAATTTTTTTAAAAGTGAAGCATAAATATTTTCTTTCATTAAATCTGAACAAAAACTAAGTTATAGTTTTTATAACTTTTTCTTAAAGGTTTTTTTTAAATTTTTTTTTTAGTTGTAGACGGACACAATACTTATATTTATTCATTTTTATGTGGTGCTGAAGATTGCCTCACACAGGCTAGGCAAGCCCTCTACCACAGAGCTACAACCCCAGCCCAAGTTTTTATTTATCACTTTTTAATTCATTTCTTATCACCATTAAAATAGTGAATCTTGTATATATGGCAGCATGCTCTCTCAAATGCTCCTGTCTATCTTCACTAGCTTGTTCCAGTTATCTGGAATATGGTGTCTACCTCCCACCGCTCCCCCTCTCTAAACCAATCTCTAATTTCTTCCTGATGGGAGGGGGTGGGTCATTACTTGGGGATTTCTTTTACAAAGATCTGTCTTCCTCATAAATAAGAGGAAAGTCCTTAGATCTGCCAGATGACAAAAGTGAAAAATGAAGCTCATTGGTGTTGAATCTTAACTCTCCTTTTTAAAGTTATATATACGGTGCAAAAACAGAAATTCAAATACTCAAATAAAAAATGTGATTCTAATGTGAACTTTGCCCAACCTTTGTAATTATCTTAAGAGAGGCAACTGCTGGCACTTTCTCAAGCACCGTCCAGGCATGCAGACACACTTTCAAACACCTACACGTCCACATACAGCTTGCACTGTATCTCCATGGATCCATGGATGCCTTTTTTTTTAATTTGCGGTGCTGGGGATTAAACCCAGGGCTTTGTGCATGTGAGGCAAGCACTCTACCAACAGAGCTATATCCCCAGCCCCTGTGGACACTTTTCACATACTGCTTGCACTGCATATCCTTGGACGCTTTCCAGTAGCTCCAGGGTACACCCTTCTGTAGATGTGCTCAGTAGTCATCTAACAGTGGGTGCCTTAGATTGTTCTGTTGTCACAAAGAACAGGTTCAGGTTTGTTTTAGTTGTAGCTATCATTTGAGATGGGGTCTTGCTTATTGCCCAGCTTGGCCTCAGCCTATGCTCCCATCTCAGCCTCCCAAATAGCTGGTTCTATAGGTGTGCACTACCACAACCAGTCTAGGTACATTTTGAATACTAGATGAATATATCTGTAGAATCATTCCTAGAACTAGAATTAAGGATTGAAGAGCACATATGTGCATTTTAAATATTTAGAGACTGTCAATTTTCCTTCTAAAACAGCCTGCATTAACTTATATTTCAGTGAAAACTTCAACATGTTTTCTTTCCTAATCATTACCAACACAGAATATTAACGACCTTTTGCTCTTCATTGATCTAAGTAATAAGCTACATCTCATTTGTTGCTTTAAATTACATTTCTTTAACAATGAATGAGGCTGGGCATGTTTTCCTATCCCTTTGAATTCCTTTATAGAACCCTTTTTAACCATAAGAACCCAAAGACAGGACTGGGTTTATGTCACTAGACATTCTGCATCACATTCTATGCAAAAAAAAAAAAAGGAGAACAAAATTGGAGCTACACAACTACACTACCTGAGAAAGTGGCCCCTCCAGTAAACACGTACCTCTGGATCCTGTAAATCACTAAGTTAAGCTTTAAACTCAAAATCCTATACATATAGCAAAATACACGTGTCATCAACAAGAGCTTTGATGTCACCCTATCTCTTAGAAACATTTGGTTTATTAAAACCAAATCCATTTGCTTTTTTTAAAACCATGCCTGAGTTTGAGTACCTGCACAGAAAAAAATTACCAAACAAACAACTAGATAACAAAAAAAAAAAACTCCAATATTTTTAAAATGTGTACCTTTGCAACTAAAAGAGGCGATCTTTGTAAAGTTTGTTGTAGAAGTAGGCAGCAGGACTGGTTCAAACTGAAGAGACAGAGCATCTCTCTGTGAGAAATGATGTACATCCTGTAACAACAACAAAAAGTCCTCATTACTACTCTCAGCCAGAACACTTACCCATTCCAAACCCACTCTGTTAAAATAAGTAAACAGCAGAGACTGTATACCTAGTAACTGCTCAGCAGATGTGTCTGTCACAGCAGGGAGTGGGTGCTGGCACCCACCCTCCAAATAAGGCTTCAAGTAAAAGAATGGCTTTAAAGAAGAGCAAAAGAGTGTGTGCAACTGTTTCCACATCTGTCCTGAAAGACCCTCATGTTCTGCAATCTGATGCACCCTTATGATTTCAAGTTCTACTTTGTGTGAGAATTTATAATTACCTGTATCCATATAAGGCTGTTTCCTGAATGTAATATATACATATTTACTGCTGATTCGTCTGTTCAAAAGAATCAGAACAATGAGATTAAAACAAAGAGCCATCTCATCTCCACACCTTAATGATTAAACATTCCTAATAACTTGTTTTTTTTTTTTCAAAATGGAAATCAAAACTGGGAGCCATTTTCTTCTATGTATTCTTTTAAGTCACACAAAAAAAGATCCTTACAAAAAGGCCCGATACCATCAGCTCTTAAAATGGTATACAAGAGTCAGGAAAGAAAGTCTGAATTTAGGGTCATCCTGGTCTTTTCTACATCACACTAATCACCTGGACAGCTTCAAATAAAGCTGTTTTCCTGCTGCTTGGACACCCCTGCATTTCCTTATTTAGACAACTATATTCAGAAAGAATGAAACTCCTGGCATCTTAAAACACATGCTTCCTTTTAGCCTTTACCAACGGAAAACTTCCCCATGGGGCAGGGCCTTCTCCACATCGATGTCTACCTGGCCATCACTACTCTGGCCAATTCTGAGGACTGGAAGTTAAATGATGTTTGACTGACTAGACTGCCAACAGCACTGGGGTGCAGCTCAGTGACAGAGCACGCACTTAGAATGCATACGGCCCTGGGTTCAGCCCCAGTACAAAAAAGCAAGACTGCTAATTTAAAAAAAAAAAAAAATGTTTTAAACTATGCTTTTGAATACGTTTGTACCATTTTTAAAAATATGAATACACATATACACTCACATACTATCATAACCAAAGAATTATAATAAATCCCACATTATGAATTTCACGGATCATAGGATGTGTGTCTCCTACAAAAGTTCTTAGAAAGTCAAACGGATGAATAGGTTGTTTCTGATAAATAGGACACCTACATCCAGAGGTTAAATTCATAGAACCGAACACAAAAATTTTACTCTAACTTGTGAGGCATCCAAGAATAACCAGCCCTCAGCTATTAAGATACAAAACAGCATGAGTGTTAACAGAGCCGCCGCCATACAGTAAAATTGGAATAAAGCGCCATCAGACTTCAAACACTGAATATTTAGACTACCAAGGCCATTTGATTTGTTTACTATCCTCAAAACATTTAAAAAAAAAAAGCATTTACAAGGAGACTCAGAACAGTCTGCAATGGTCATTTAAGCCCCTTCCCCAAATACTATAGCCTGGTTAACAGCTGCAGGCTGAGAACCAGTTACTGT